AGCATACATGTATAGGTCCCTGGTTATACATTTGTAATGATTTCTGGTAACAATAAACGCTAAGAAGACCAAGAATGCGGGTTAAATGGAATAACCTGTCTCCCCTATCTGAGTTGAAATAGACTCGCCCAAAAGGGGGTATATAAAAGAACGCGCTGCGAGTTTCAGGGACAGTCATTCGAATGCTGAGAAGAGAAGTTGTCAACAAGTGAGAAGAAAAAGAAGAGAAGAAGAGAAAAGGTGAAATAAAAGAAATAAGTTTACATTGCATCAGTGGCAAGAAACCCGGGGAATTGAGGCGAGATACTGGGGGCTGTAGATCTGCATAAGAACGAAACTCCTAGTATCCGCCATCAATAGGAACCTGGGGCAAGGTCCACGGTGCTTTGGTAATAAAGTTACCAGGTCATAATAATTTTAGTCACACTCTTGTATATACATTGTAATTGTGTAATTAAAGAATAATAGAATAGCCCAGACAGGTTAAAGAAAAATTGTTATATTGTAAATCTTTAAATTAATAGATCAAATACTCAGATAGAGTCACTCAGTTAGAGTAAGAGGAAAATTTCATCCCCTATAAGAACCCAAACGCAGGGGTACACGTTACATTTTGGTGGCAGTCGGTAAGGGGATAGAAGTTAAGACAAAAATAATAGGTACCAGGTCCAGTTTACCAAGCGCTATATTTACCGGGTCCAGTAGTATCAGTACGCAGAACCACGTACTTTGTTACCAAGGACATTTTACCAAGTACAGTTTACCAGGTCCAGTTTAACCAGGTACAGAGAGCCAAGTGCGTTGTAACCAAGTACTGTTTACCAGGTCCAGTGTTACCAGGGCAAGTATAGTGTGACAAGGTTTTTAAATCTCGGTTCAGTGTACTTGTCATTATTAATAAAAAGAGGAATCCTGACGAATACAAAAGAAAAGTAAAATGTCTGATAAAGAAGCTGACCTTTTGGCCGACCTAAGCGCTATAGACGCTATGCGGGAGAAGCTAAAGGAATCCTTAGATAGAATGAAATCTACACCAAAGACGTCTACAAATCCAGCAAAGATACCAGATTCAGGAATAGATACTGGATACAGGCCATTTGAATCCAGTTTAGATGAACTTACATCTAAATACACGAACACCTTGGACAGAGAAAAGGGTGCTACAGGTGGCACAGAAGATTATAGGTATTTTATGTCCCGAAAGCCGAGTTATACCCTGTATGAGGAAGAAGAAATTAAAGATAGAAGTACCACGCCTGGGAAACCAAGCAAGTATGATTTATCAGGACAGGTTAAGCACACAACTCTCTCTAGATCTGTTCCAACAACAGGATTGCCTTGGAGTTTTAGTGGATATGTAGCTCCGTCAACAAGTACGAATGTGACCTGGTCAGACAGCCGAAATACAGGGACTGGTTCATTATCTGTTCAACAGCCAAAACCAAGTTTAGACTGTGCAACAAATAAAGCAACAGAATATACTATGGGCAAAACAGTGATGAAACCAGCCACCTATGATGGAGTAGGATCTTGGATTGATTATAAGGCACACTTTGAGGCCTGTTGTGATATAAATATGTGGAGTGCTCGACAGAAAAGTCTGTACTTGGCAGCTTCGTTTAGAGGACAGGCTCAGACTGTCTTAGGAAATATGAGCCCTGGTACCGCCTGTACATATGAAGATTTGTGCGATGCTTTAGAGGCCAGGTTCGCACCGGCAAACCAAACATTAAAGCAGACAGAATTCTAGGCTTGGATTTCCTTCGATCAAGTCAATGCTTAGTGGATATTACACATACTAAAATGTTGGCGTCTGGAGTAGAACATGAACTGCATTTGCAGGGACAAATAGGTTGTTTTAGTGTTAGCCTTGGGGAAAATAAAATGATTCCCTCAAGAAGTGAGATGAGTTGTTCTGGGCAGTTGTTGACACCTACAGGAGATAAGGTACAATTACCTTTACTGATAAAGCCTACCAAAAAGTTTGATAATGGCAATAAAGAACTTATGGCTAGAACCTTGGTTAATCCAACCAAGAATGTCACAATGCGTTTGATGAATATGTCGGAGCAGGTACAAACCAGTTATAGAAATACAGTAGTTGAATTGACTTCGGTAGTGGACGTATTTAAATCAGGATGAAAATGTGATTAATTCAGTGATGCTTAATGAAAAGGTAGAGAGCATCCCAGATCATTTGAATGAATTGTACACAGAAACAGCCAAGGGCCTCACGACAGAAGAGAGATCCAAAGTTAAGTCAACTTCAATTAAGTTTCAGCAACTTTTCTCAAAGGACAATAGTCAAGGAAAGTATGAATGCCAGTTATGTGATCAAGCTTTTAGTATCTTAACGAGGCACCTGAAACGTATCCATAAAGAACAAGAGAACTCAAAATTACACAGAAAGAGGCAGGGGCAGATTCAGGATCTGTCAGTGGAATTGCCTATAGAAAAAGATTGGCAAGAAGACCCTGGGGAAGTTATTTTTGAAGAAAATGACATCGAGTTAGGTAGAACTCAGAGAATAAGAACTGCCCAACGTTTGCCAGTTGTAAAAACAAAAACAGCAGACAAAGTGAACCAAGTAGTTGAGGAAAGAAAAATACTAGACAAGAATGTGGAGAATGGATACGAAGCCACTAGTAGTAGATCAGACCAGGAGGCACGGGAAGATCAACATTGCTCCTGTTGCAAGAAACAAATTGAGACAGTAGACAAAGCTATACAGGCCAACATTCAAGTTGAAGACGTTAATAAGAGAAGGCATAAGAAAAACATAAGAGTGATCAAGAAGTATCAAGAGAATGGAGAAACCATTGAAAGATTTGAAGAGGACATTTGGTCAGATTAAAATGCCTTAGGTATAGATTGTACATTCAAGCTAAGCTGACTATTTGTTAGCATTTCTTTCTTTTGATTTTGTAACCAGGTGTTACTTTAACTCTTGATAAATAAAAATGAATATGTATTTATAATGTTTATAGATTTATTTGCATAAATGTCTTTTAAAAAAAATAATAAATAGAAAAAAAAACATGCGGGACGCATGAAATCAGAGGCGTGAGTGATGTAATGATTTGTGGTAACAATAAACGCTAAGGAGACCATATATATCTCCCCTATCTGAGTTGAAATAGACTCGCCCAAAAGAGGTATATAAAAGAACGCGCTGCGAGTTTCAGGGACAGTCAGTCGAATGCTGAGCAGAAAAGTTGTCAACAAGTGAGAAGAAAAAGAAGAGAAGAAGAGAAAAGGTGAAATAAAAGAAATAAGTTTACAATGCATCAGTGGCAAGAAACCCGGGGAATTGAGGCGAGATACTGGGGGCTGTAGATCTGCATAAGAACGAAACTCCTAGTATCCGCCATCAATAGGAACCTGGGGCAAGGTCCACGGTGCTTTGGTAATAAAGTTACCAGGTCATAATAATTTTAGCCACACTCTTGTATATACATTGTAATTGTTTAATTAAAGAATAATAGAATAGCCCAGACAGGTTAAAGAAAAAATTGTTATATTGTAAATCTCAGATAGAGTCACTCAGTTAGAGTAAGAGGAAAATTTCATCCCCTATAAGAACCCAAAAGCAGGGGTACACGTTACACATTATAGAGATTTTCTTACTTTTTTTTCTCAATTTAGAACAGATGTTACAATTATTCTCTCTGGAGAAGACTTAACACCAACTGTTACAGGTTAGTGGGTAAATTCAGTTCACTTTGTGCTCTTTTCGAAACAATTTTGAAAAAAATAATTTATAGAGGGTAAATGAATTTAGATCAAACAATTTTGTCATGATAACTCTAATTGTGTACTTTTGGGGGAAACACTGGAAGGTATACGTATTTCATTTTTCAAGTCAAAGGAGGAAAATTTCACAGAATAATCCTTTTTCAAAACCTGTGACATGATATTAAATCCCCTCCAAATAAAAATTATATCATCCATCCTCCAAGTCGATGTTTTAAGGTTTGTAAGTGTTATGCAGAAATTCGACTTTGACCTTTTTAGTGCTTTTTTTCCTTCATGGAGAATGCTTCTTTGTTGTATAAAGTAATCTTTAATATTCCCAAAATGGAGATATTTTCCTTTGACGACTGAATTTATCAATTTTTTGGGTGGATGGGGGTGGGGTGGGGGGTGGTGTTTGGGGTTGGCGGGTTGGCTCTCTCAATGAAATATAGGGAGATAAAGAACAGAATTCAAGCTCAAAAGTCAATTAACAATATGAAATAGGAGCAAAGCAAACATGGACCTCCAAATTATTAGAGGTGAAAATCAGATGACATGGAGGAGTGAGCATCACTTGGAGACTGGTCACTCCTGTTTGTTGTAATCGGAAAAATACGTAAAAAATCAATCGAAAATTCAGTGCGTACATGTATTCTATAATGGCCTGACAATTTGTATGACAATTTACATGTAAGCACTTCTTATATAAATAAACAACCACAACAAAACACACAGAAGTATTATTAATCTATTCTGTATTCTGAGTGGCCTATATATATATTCCTTTTTGCTAATGTACAGGCTTGTGTGAAGTCACAGAGTTAACCTGAGGTGCAAAGTGTGGGTAGACAAGGAGCTTCCTCTCCATAGGTATTGGGGGAGGGGTTCAAAGGAATCAAATTTTCCAAACTCAGACCTTTACAATTTTAATTTTTACCAATGAAAATGACATTGTAGACGTATTCACATCGTGATGTGAAGACCACTGAACAAATCTAAGAACTTCTAACTTTTCCCTTTAGTCTGCTTAGAAGATTTGGAAACTTCCCTACTGAATAATCAAAATTCGATCAATACGTTGAATTTCCTACTAACCAAATATAACTCAAATTATCAATTTCGTTTCCAGTACTTATTATGGACTCCTGTTGCTTTCGATGAAATTTTCTGATACGGACTTAATATTAATAACACTTGAACTTTGGCTTCAAACTTTCCAGCTAAGGAAATAGTTTTGTCCTTATATATAAGTATAAAAGTGCAATTTGCTAAGAAAGCTTAATGTTTTGGCATTTGCAACAAAATAAATCAATAGGCACGATTTATCATCAACTCCCCTCCATTTATTCAATTTAATTTTTATTCTTGAGAAAATGATGTGCGGGTTACAACTTTTTTGACTTATGGAATATACGCAACTGGTATTTCCTGCTGACTTATGATCCGCCATTGCAGTGACAATACTATCAGGTAATTCATTTAATTAATACACGTTTTTATAAATAGATGGGTAATTTTTTTAATTTAAAAGTAACTTAATCTACAATATTATAGATCCCCCTAGAACTGGTAAGAGATTATATAGTTCCATTCCAAACAAAAAGTTAATATCACAATTACATTCTCCCTCCTCTCACAACACTTTCAAAATTTCGTATATCATAATTCTTTGTAGATATTATAATTCTTTGTAGAAATAGATAAACTTGTTAAGAATTAAAATTAATTTCCAAAACCTGTTAATTAAGCATTTTTTTTTAATTCAAGTAAAACTTATTTATCAATCTTTATATACAGAATGGACCATATCCCCCGTCTATCAGAGGTCCTGTATGTTGGTCTGTGTCGTAAAATAGGGAAACCGACTGAAGTGGCCATCAGGAGGGACGTGCTGGACATGAAGGAGATGATAAGCAGACCTGTTGATAATTATGAGGGCATTGCTGCGATGAATAGTGGTAGTTATAGAGAGGGGTTTAGGTTGAAATCATCTGACATTGATACAATGTACTGGTTTTGTCGATTTAAGCTAATAACTGACATATCTCAGTCCAGAATCTATAACACATCGAAACATGTTATCCTACTAATGGAAGATTTCGACACACCACCAGGGTTTGTTAGACTACGCCTTCTGACATCCCCACAAAACATTTTCACAATATCCATGTGTCTTGCAGAATTTAATGGCGGGGTTTATATGTCAGGTTCTCTTTGGAGAGAATTTTATTTTCAGTTCCACGCAAATGACAGATACTTCCAGCAGAAAAATATCCGTAACCATGGTCCATGTGTTACTGGTGTTGATGGAACTCTTGAATTTGATCAAGCTGCTTGTTTTGCCAGTATATATTGGCCTAAACAGACGAGAGATTGGTTTGATAGATGTCAGAGACACACCTGGCCTCCTGTACTTGTGTTGGAAAAAATATTAAGAAATGGTTTTCACTGTGTGCCTATTGGAAGTAAAATTGTTTCGACTTCTAACGAATTAGAATGGAGATTATCATTTTCTCAAGCCGAGCAACATCTAGTGTGCACCATGAATCATACACAATTTTTATGTTACGGACTTCTGAAAATATGTCTAAAGGAAGTTATAAATTATAGGAAGGAACCCTTGCTGTGTTCATATTTCATGAAGACCACGATGTTCTGGATGATACAACTAGGGCATTTGATATGGCTTCCAAACAGATTACTAGATTGTTTCTGGAAGTGTTTTAAATATCTTATTTATTGTGTTTATGAAGGAGATTTTCCTAATTTCTTTATTCCACAAAACAACATGTTCATAAACAAAATGGTTGCAGATACACGTGCCTCTCTTTTACAACAGCTTTATCAGTATTACAGAATGGGTGTGACCTGTTTACTGCTGAGTCCGACTCTAAAATCAATACTTGAACCAGCCCTCAGTAGCCCATCATTTGTGTTATCCACTGCCGAGGGAGAATTTATAAGTATTGCAGATATAGACTTATGTGGCATGACGGAAATTTTTCAAATTGTTATTTATTGTAAACATATGGTGGATATTTACCTTTATTTGAAATCCAATGATATACTATCAAGTTTTTCATGCTCTCCATACCAATTACTTACATTACAGTATGTTAAATCTGATATACTTGTTCAATTGGCCTTCACAGTAGCAAACAATAATTCATCTTGCAAATATAAAAATGTCTACATCTTAGATCGAGTAATTTGTAATGTGCTAAAATTAGCAGGTAGGCTAGGCCCTATTTACTCTTTGTTATTTCTAGCATTATATTACTATAGAACAGCGAAGTATGAAAAAGCACTACACATTATCTATCTTAGTAAACAAAGACTGTCAGAGGACAATATTATATACTTTAATACTGTCGACAGGCACAGGTACATTGAAACTGTAGGTAATCTCCCTTTGTCCAAAAGGATGAATAAAGCTTGGGTGGAAAATATGATTTTAAACAACAATATTCTATACATAGAAGAGTTATGTTTAGAACAATATTGGAGTCTTCAAAACGGAACGCCATTCTTAATTTTATCACCAAATGTTATGATTGAGTTGTTGTCTGTGTTATCTCACTATAGACTAGGTAATAGATCTCAGTGTTTGCAGTCACTGACAGACCTACAGACACTGCTGCTGTGTGATGATAATGTGTATGCTCTTTTAGAAACCAGAGACATAGCATGGCAGATACTAGGAATCTGTCAACACATTGTAGGAGACTTATACGGAGCTCTACAATCTTACGAAGTGTCACTTAGACAGTATCAATATAACAAAATACAAGAAGCTACATTGATAAGAATTGAGTGTGTAAAAGAACAACAACATAGAATTATGCAAGCGTAGTCAAAGGAAAAGCTGTTGTATTTCCTTACATGTTTGTGCTTCAAAAACTATGAACTGGATAATATTTTGCTACAGTGATTGTTTGATCACTTTTTGTTCAAGATTTTAGATAAGAAATAAAAGATGAACATTCTTTAAAATATTGTTTCACTTCTCATCAAATGTTCTTTGTTGATCTGCAAATGTATGTAAATTTTTATTTTTTTAGGTCAATAATATCGTTGGGTTTCGTTATTATAGAAGTTGCTGAACATTAAACGTATAATAATTTAAGTTTGACTGTTAATCAAATGAGTTGAATGCAAATTTTGTTTTGTTTTTTATGGCCTCGCCGCCAAATAGCCGTCCTTTTAATTTCAGTATTTTAATCCACTGATAATTGGTTGATGAAATATAAGGAATTGAAGACCGGGGGAAAAGCAATTCACTGTCTGGTCGGTATAATTTGAACACAACCGGCACAGGTTTATAGATTTTTTAATAAATTTAATAATCAGTAAAATTTTATAAATAAGATTGGAGCTGGTGCATTGCATTGATGTTTTAATTGTAAATTCGCTTCCGGTTTTGAATTGAAATTTAGATCCCTTTGTTAGGTATAGACAAGAATCTTGTCTCATAGAACTACAAGAACTACTCCTTCAAAGACACTATCCCAGACGATTGATTCAAAACGGAATAAACAAAGCAAAATCTCAAGAAAGAAAAGCTCTTCTTACCGTGAAAAATAAATCAGTAAATAATGTCATACCATACCGTTTCAACGCATAACCCAAGAAATCCAGAGATTTTTAACATTATTAGAAATAATTTGCCTATCTTAGAGGATAATCCAGGCATGAAGAAAATATTAGAAACTTCGCGAATCATGAAGAGTGAGCGACAAAGTCCTTCTCTTAAATCAATCCTTACAAAAGCACCCTTTTTCAATAACAACAACGAACCAGCAATCATCAATAGATGCAATAAGCCCAGGTGCAGTACTTGTCCATACCTGACATGGGGATCTAAATTTCAATTCAAAACCGGAAGAGAATTTACAATTAGAACATAAATATTTACATTCTCTCATTTAATTATAAGAAATGCACAGAATTTCTTCATGTATTTATAAGAGAGGCAGTATTCCAAAAGCTTTACAATGATTTTTTACTTTTACAATTAAGATCGTTAGCACTTGCAAAACGACTGCAATCTGCTATCTGTAAGTTTGCACTATGTTTTAGTTTTATACGCACGAAAGCTTTGTCGAGAACCTGGATTAATCCCTTCTTTAATACAAAGGATACTTAATGCAACAAAGCTTAATGAAGTAAATTAATTCTTCCCTTTTTCTTTTCACTGAACTTTCAATAAATTCAAGTTGCGCTTCAAAAGTTGGTGCACAGCACACAATCCTTTTTTTTAATTGGTCATACCAAATTTGTTTTTTGATGAAAAAAATGAAAAAGGCAGTCAATAAAACATTTTAATAAAAGCAAAATCATAATGGTAGTTATTCTGAAAATCAATTAACAAACTTAAATTTGTTGAACATTTCTACTTTTATCTTTTAAAAACATGCAATCTTCCAAACTATTAACATAACAGCTTGAACAGGTTCATTACTCAAACAATACATGTATTTAACCTATTCCAAACAATTATCCCATGACGAAGAAGTACTGATAATATATTTTTTTAATACAAAAAGTCTAGGTTTTATAAATATACTCGTATTTACACCAATATCAGAATCATGCTTACTCGTAAAGCATAACAAATTCAAACATATATTATTGCAGTGATCCAAAGTAGAATGATGTGAAACTTAACAAAAATAAACTATATATATAATTATATCACTACAGCCTTATAAAACACCTTTGAGAATCCAAACGAACTTTTAAAGACTACAAATTTCTTAAGTTGTGTGTAATCTAACTAGATTAAATATGTAGAATATTTTTAAATGTATGTGTAAGCTATGATCCAAAACGGAATTATGATTTATGCAAACCTGTATTTTTATTGATTAAACATCAATTTATATGTTTTCGCAAGGCTGTGCTATTAAACTCATTATTTTTGCATACGAGGCGTGTACTAGTGCACGGCTATAGAGATTTGGTTTGGGGGTAGGTATCATGTTGTGAATTTCGAATGCAATGGTAGGGGGGGGGTAAATAGAAGGTTGTCATGTTGGAAATTATGCATTTACCTCCCCCTATTAAATTTATATTTACAACATGATATAGGTATAATGAGTATATGAATGAAACTAATCCAGTTCAGGAAATGTTTTTGACAAGAAAATATTATGTACAGACTCATGAGAAATTATGCATGGTATGATATAATCTAAGGTACTTTAATTTAGCATAACAACGGTGTAAAAAGGTCAAGCTTGGACTGCAGAGAGTAGAGATGTGTTTTGAGACACCTGTTTACACCAGAAATTAGATGCATGGTTGGGACATATTGACTTGTTTTGGTATGAACCTCACATTTCATAAATGATTATAGCAAATATTTTTTTGAATTAATATTTTTTCTACAACTTAACATTAATTTTCAGCAGATGTTTTTTAAAATGTACAACAGAATATTATAAATACTGCTAATCTTAAAGAGGGCTGCTACCCTTTATATTTAGAATGGAGCTTGTAAGGTGTTTCTAGACAAGATTTTGCTGTAGGAAGCTCTGTTGAGTAATAGGTGTACATTAACATTTCCACTGAATCACAATGGGGACCCTCCTTCTTGAGATAAAATTCACCGTTCTGAAACAGGCAGAAAAGTTTATTTCAAAGTCTGATTAACTGTATTTAAGCAAGAAATATCTTATTCAAATCTTTACATAAAGACTAAATACTTGAACAGTTAAACCTGAAGTGTTACTTGTTTTAATATACATGTAATTAAGGAAAATTTGACTTAAATTGATGTACATGCAGCTTAAGTAAATATCAATACTGACCTCGTTGGTAATTTTATATTTCTTTGGCATGTTTTCTGCAAATACAACCAAAACCTGCCAAAGCAAAATTAAATTTTAGACATATATAAGTATGCATATTTTTTGCAAGATCTATTTAACTTTGTAGAGATTTTTCAGATAAAATGCTGTACAAACCTGTCCGCCATCTGCACCTGTGCGAACTAGATACACGCCATCCTCACCAATATTCCTTATTATTCTGTTTTAGAAATAAAAATAAATACTACAGATGAATGAAATATGTTTTTAAAGAAGCTCATATAAAAATAATAAACTTCTATTTTTCTATGATAGCAATTTTTTTATCCTAATTGTTTTTACTTTTTAGATTTGGTTGAATTAAGAGCTGAATAAAAGAATTTAAATGCAATTAGGATAATTATAATAATTCATAAATACTACAAAAAGATATATACACACAGATATTGCAAATGATGACATTGAAATTATCCCTCTTCCATATATAATAACGCATACATGTACATCACATTTTACATCTCGAGAGAATTATCAGCTGAATGCTACTCACTCTTGTGCCCTTTCCTTATCATCACCTTCGTAGTAAATGTTACTCCAATAGTCCTCGCTATCTTCATCTTCATCTTCCTATAGCAAACCATATTTCAAATACCATGTAATCGTTAAGTTTTGCTACAGAAACCTTAAATGTATCATATCAAGAAATATCTAAATGAAAATAGTTTTGAAATAGCTGAAGGAATTATACTTAAATTTATTTGTATTTAATCCATATAACTTCCACATTCTCTGGAATCAATATTTCTTCATATGAGGTGATATTAAAAACATTTATGATGATTCTACAGAAGTAAGTATGTTTATCTTTAAGGTTTTGTCAAAGATCAACATGTCCAAAAATTTATTTTACAATAGCTCCAAAAATATGAGAGTTATAAAGTTAAAACTTATACAGTTCGTTGATATATCATTAATTAACAGATGGAAAGTATTATTTGAAAACAGATACATTGTATTTTTTTGTGCACCTGCTTAATTCTGTCCTTTTTTGAAAACCATAATTGCAGATATGATATATGTTTATCAACGAAGGGCAAGTTGAATGTGAATAGTCTCTGAAAGGCTGTTATTGAAAGCATGACATGCATAAAGACAAGGCCCCTTTAAAATCGGCCATTTGCAATGTATTTTTAGTTTCAGATCTGAACATTTTGAAAAATAAACAAGAAAAACAACTTTCCAGAGGTTATCTAAGTCCAACTTGCCCTTCATTGATAAACATTTGTTGTTTCTGCAATGAAGGCTTTCACTAAAACCATGGGGTTAATAAAAAGTGTGTTTTTGAAAATATATGCTATTTTTTAAAAGAATTTTCCTTGTTATCAAGAGATATTTTCTATATTTGTTAATCAATGATGTATTTAAAAACTGTAAAAGTTTTAACTTTATAAAACACATACTAGTAGTTTTGGAACTATTGTAAAAATCAATTTTTGTACAAATTGACCTTTGACGAAACCTTAAAGGCACCTGATCCCAGCCCTGGAAATTATAGGGGTCTTTTTTATGCCCTCTTCACATATTTTAATTATACAGAGATATTTAGATATCAATCACTGTTTGTTATTTTCATCTTTTATATTGAAACAATTGTAATATATTATAATTTCTTTGAAAAGAAAACCCATCTTTCTAACCTCCTCGTCTGCAGCTTTGATTTCGGCGATCCTTCTGTCAGAAACTGGAGTGTTTTCTTTATCTTTTGATCCTTTTCGCCTTCCTTTAGAGTGACTTAAAAGATACATAAAAATTCACCTCTGTTTCATTTATTATATTAAATGAAAAAGAACCAAAACAATACATAAATATACTGAACATATTTTTTTAGGAAATTGGGAAGTTCTGCTTATTTTGATTTTAATTTTGATGAGTGAAATTTTTAAAACGTTATTTACTTCTCCAGTAGTATGTCTTGCAGAAAATACTGAAATGATGAGTGCCAAATAAATTAAATAAAAAAGATTATTTAACAGTACGATAAAATCTTATTTTACACATTCTTGAATGTGATATTATACATTTGTAATTTCATTTAATTGCTTGCTTTCATCATCAATTTTAGTAAATACCCAAGCGTAACTAGTACTGCTCCATTTAGGATTTCAAAACTGGGTGTTCATTAATACTAAAATGTATTTAGAAAACATTATTATTATGATTAATGCTCACACAACTTTCTGCTGCAATGTATTCCTTATATTGTAACAATACTTTACAAAGTTGCTAGCATACAGAAATGACAAAAAGTGAGAGGGATAG